ATTTAACAGCTTGAACACGAGTAGAAGTTGGACCGATACCTTTCTCAGATAAGAAATGTCCCATGAACAAAGATTGTGAAAGTCAAAACTGTGACTTAGCTTTGTTTTGGGTCAAACCTTTTTCTAAAGATGGCATAAAACTTTTCATTCCTCTGATCATGCTCACTGTTATGACCCACATCTGTTATGCCTGTTGTAATCAAATAATAGGTGAAATGTTCTTTCCAGCATTTCCACCATTGAGAAATAATGTTTTGGTTCATGCAGTCAAAAAGCTCAATAGAAGTTGGTTGGTTGATTGTAATTAAGCACAAAGCTACACAATAGGCTAACTGTGCTCTTCCAACCACAGGTATCAAAACCCAGTTTCTAGCATTATAAGTCCACAGACATACTGCTGTGCCACTGGGGCTTCAACAAAAGTCACTTTTAATATTTTAGACACAGTTGGCTAGAAAGTTGAATCCTATAATTCGTCTCCAAATATAATGTTTTTTCAATAACAACCCTCACACAATGTGTACTGCTCTTGGTTTTTATTTCTCCAACTAACAACCTTCTGTCTCAGCAGAACTGTCTTATAATATAAGAGTAGTGCTAGTGGCACAAACAAGTTATTTTGCATAATTGGTACAGAATAACATTATAAATAAAATACAAAATGGGTATCACTGCTGTTATTGATACTGTCGAACATAATCCAAATATACCCATGGTGGACAGAACACACACAGCCCTTTGTGTAGCTTTGTACTTAATAACAAACAACAACAACCCAATAATATCTCGTAAGACACCAACAACCAAAATTTTGATAAGTCCATATAAGAAACTAATAATGCAAAATAATCCTCATTATACAATATATATGTATAATTAACAAATGTAACATAATACAAATAAATATGGTTTATATATAACATATTTTAATCAACAGTTTGTTCCTTAAATTTCATGAAAAGCTATTTGAGGTCTATCTGCTCTAGCCATCCCTAATTTAGAAGGAAAGGCAACTAGTTAACACCACCAACTGCCAACTCTTTGGCTACTCATTTTTCCAAGAAATGAGGGATGGACCTTCACATTATAACTCACCTACAAGTGAAAGGCCAAGCATGTGACAGGATTTAAACCTAGGACCTGCAGTTGAATGCCCCAACAACCAGGGCATGCCTGCCTTAACTAATAGTCTAAATAAAGTAAAGAAAGAATAAAACTTTATTAACAACTTGTTTGTTTTATGCACTATAATTTACTTCTTGTCAGTGTATGATAAGGCATCCAAAGTTCCCTTAACTAATGGATCAAATGGAATATTCCAGGAATAATCCTGGCCCACAGTTACCTTATCTTTGCAATAACTGGAAATTTGAGGACAATAAGAGCAAATGTAGTGATCTGATGTAAGTAGTATGAAAGATACATGATGTATGAAGTTCAAACACCAACTGAAAACAAATAGAAGAATGGCAGATCACTTGAATCTTCATTGTATTTTTGCATGAAGTGGAAATGAAATAATCTGTATTCTAATAAAATAGAAATAAACTATTTTTGGCTAAGCTTATGACTATAGCTATTGGATAACTTGGACAAAAGATGAATGCTCAATAAGCATGTATTGAGAGGAACACTGAAGCAAAGGTATGATTTTGATGACAAGCTCTGGATCTTTCATGGTCAGAAGCAAATATGTTTGAAAACTCCAAAATTGCACCTTCTCTATATAACTGACCAATCATAAAATTGAATCACAACAATCTGGAAGTATCTTTTCTCCATGCAATGGTGGAAGTAGGACACAATACAAATCCTGATAAAACAGTAAAATATCTATAGGATTGAACCCTTCTTCAAAAAGTAGCCACAAGACCTGCTTTTAGTGCCTGATCTTTACTGGATTTAAGATGTTAAGTTATAATATTAATTTAAAAGTTGCAATGTGATCTAGTATAATCAGATGAAATTGCAGCTCTTGGTCAGCTTTTCTCATTTGAGTATTAGATAATATACTTATTTTGATGCTCTGTGTCAGACTTTTACTGTCGTTGATTTTTTTCATTGTTCACCTTCTCTATACCCTTCTTTTCTTTGGAGGTGGACTATGGTCTACAAGGCAGTGGTCATTTTCCCATCATTCTGAGAGAGATTAACCACAGACATTGCCACCCAACTTATACAACTGACCCCTTTTCACTACTCTCTCTGAGCCTGAACCTGTTAGGGGCAGTATAGAAGTATTACTTTTTCATATTGTTCAGCCAGCTGTACTTATCATCCCTAATCCTCGAGACATTTTCCACAATATCCTCGTCTATGGTGTAAATCTGAGTGCCAAAGGACACAATGGGTTGAGGTATAAGCATGTGGTACATTTTGCAGATATTCCATTCTTACCAATCTCACATGCTTTCAAAAGGCTTGTGCTGGTGCCCAGCAGATCAGATGTCAGATCCAAGAGTCTTGAGTTGAATTCACTTCCAGTATATCTAATCACCAGATTGGGACAAAATTGTTTGAAACAAGATTCGAAAGGTGAATGAGAAATATACATCCCACTTTTTTCAGCCTTGTACCCCAATGAGCAAGAAATTGTTGATTTAATTGAGTTTCCAATACCTTTGAGAGTTCTTTCCCACCCTCTAGCACTTTCATAAGTTATCCAGCCTTATTGATAATCAAGACATGGGCCAAAAGATTCCAAAGTTACTTTCTATCTGCCTTTTTGATTACACTTGAATGTTCATCATGGTGAGGCCCCCGGTGGTAAGGCTGATGGCTTATAATACTAAAAACTGGGTATTGATGCTTGTAGCAAACACAGCACAAATACCCCATTCTGTAGCTTTACGCTTAACAACAAACAAGTCACCATGGTGGAACTCAAACGTTTTTAGATAAGCCTGGTAATGCAGGATTTGGACTAGATGAAATCCATTATTAAATGTTGCATTATCTCCATCTTGACTCTGTGGATATTCTTCTGGCTCATTTTAATCACATCTTGCTGCAACATAAGTGCCCAACTTACACCATCAGGCTACTGTCATTCCTTCTTCTTAGCTAGGAAAGGATCCCAAGATTCCTTTAAATGATAAATATTTTGCTTTGACCAGCTGTATGTATAATTTTTGGAGATGATATTTAATGCTCAGCTTGATAGGTTTATTAAACAACCTTTTCTCAAATACACATTGCTCGTTTTTGGAGGTAGTGGTCCACCAAGGACCACCTAAAGAGAAAGCATTTTGAACGTGTATATTTTTTCCTCTTGAAAAGACTTGCAACATTACATTCTTATTGTCTGCATGACCAAATTACTCACTTATATTTGAAACCTTTGAGTAGAGGGTTCATTTTGACTCAATGTGGGATCAACACTGTCCCAATTCTTTGCACAGGAAATTTAGAGTACTTGAGAAACAGTGTTGAAGTCACACTTTGAAGCCTTAAAATTAGTGATGTAACTGTGCTACAGTTGCCTCTAAGTCAATGAACAGGAGATTTTTTCAGTTTTCCAGGGTTTGTCCTATGAATCACCATTTCATGTTCAACATTTTCAACTTCTTTGCAGTATTTTGTAAATCTTCAGTCATTTCAAGAACATCTAACCTGACTGTGTCTTAATGTCTTCTTGGACGATAAAATAGATAGTCCACTATCCCCTCCCTTCAGTCCTCATATCTAAGCAAAGTTGAATCACTTGGATCAGACACTGGATGAAATTAATGAATCTGATTATCATCTTATCCTTCCATGGGTTATTACCATATGTATTGCAACATTGAGTCACCTGAGGAAGATGGATGCTCCTGGCAGGAAGCCCCGAGTTCACTTTAATGAACACTTTCAAAACCATCTTTTGCTCCTTTTTTTACAGATGGTTCAGAATCGGGTGACTTTGTGGACTACACGATAGTTTCCTGCAGCTGTGTTGTTGCTCAAAGGATCCTCTCTATAGTTTCTATGTTTACAGTTAAGTTGTATGCAATCTCACCTACTCCAGATGTCAAAATAAAGCAGCATGCTAATTGTTCCATCTATACTGACTCACTTTCCTCTTGGAAAGCCCTGAAATCACTTAATAGCTGTTATTGCCTAGTTTCTCTTGGATACACAGAAATGAATGGCCCATTTCTTCTATCATCTTTATCTATCCAGTTTTTCTGGATACCTGGCCATGATGGTACCTATGGGATTAAACTTGCTGACACTTTAGTTAAATTAACCTCCCAGAGCAATAAACATCTATCTTTCCCTATTTCCTTATATAAATTACAAGCTTGTCAACAAGACAATGCTTTGTGCCAGTTAGAAGGCAATATGGGAGAGCAATTTCTGAACAAGCCTTTCCAAACCTGCTGATTTCTCATATATAAAGTTTGTGCAGGAATCAGAAGGAAATGTTCTTTCAGGTCACATTAGGCACAGTTTTGCAACACATTGTTTTCTCTTACAAGTGAATGATCCACCATTGTATGAGCAGTATGGCATATCACATTCATCCATTGCTATAATATTCAGCAATACTCCCACTTCGGACATGTTTTAATTTATGGTGTCCAGACTGACCATGATTTTAGTTTCCTATGGGCCACTGACCTTTCAAGTTTTATTTTTTTTATCATTTTCCATATTTATCCTTCTTCCATGTGTATGAAAATTGGCTTATATATATATATATTGTAATCTCACTTTACATACTTAACTTTTACATTTTAATCTCTTTCAAGTAGCCATTGTAAACAACACAAAAATGTTTTGTGCTATTATGTCCAAAGTGACAAGAACAATCACACTTTATATACAACTGGTAGTTATGCACTATGGGAGTTAAATACAGTGGCATTGGCTCATGATTTGCTGAGGAGTGTGATAATATGTTTGGATTATAGTACAGACATATATTTATACATGGAACATTCCATTTATTTTCTTTAGACTGTAACTTTTCACATACAATTGTAAGAGAACTAATGCTTGAAATAAGAGTCTCAGTATCAAGTTATTAGCACAGCATTTTTATTGATACAATATTTTACCTATAAAATAATACAGGTACAAATAAATATACATACTGGAAAGTATTCAAGATTTTATATGTTCCAACATCTCTATACTAAAAAATCTATAGTTCACAAATGCATGTGGCTACTTCAAGGGTAACAATAGGAATTGTATAAGAAAAATTCATATATTTATACAATACATACATCATACATATCTTAAGGGATGGCATCGCTGTTTTGAAAAAATTTTCTGTATACAAATGAAACAAATTATGTACCATTACAAACATTGACAATTACATGCAAGGAAAATATCTAAAATAACTATTATCTTTCAATATAATATTCTTCTGATGTATTATATGTCAAAAACAATCATATAGCAGATTCAGTGACTATGACTTTCTTTCTCATCTCATGCTTTGTGGCTAAGGGCTCGAAGAGCCACACCATTGCTCCAATGACTTGGCTGAGCCCAAGAATTGATTGGTTGATGCTGTAACTTTCTGTAACTTCTAATATATAACCTGCGTTAGAAATATATAATATAAAGATGATTCAAAGTACTCCCTTGCATATTAAGTAACAGTCAAAGAACCTAGTAAAATAAAATAAAGAATGTGAGTTTTATTGATTCCTTTTACAGTTGTAAGATGTATTGTTTTCGAAGGTTCTCAAAAGATTTTATTCTCTTCAGATATTGTTCAGGATATTCCATCTATCATGCAAATTCCACACACCAATGTAAAACTTGTCAGCAACTAAGGAGAATCAGTTAAGGATTACGAGTTGAGTGCTTGAACCCACAATGTCTCAACTCCAACTGCTTTTTGCTGTCTGCAGCCAGTTGTGGAAAGGCAGTTATCCTTAATATTTAGAAATAGCTTTAATGTAGAATTCAACCAACTCCATAAAAATTCTACAAAGTAAAACACCCAACCTCCACCCTTTTAATTGATGTTATAAAAAACTATTATTATAATATTCTTAGAGTAGAAATAAGCCACCCTTAGTTTCCATAGAACCCCCAACTTCCACCCTTTTTATTTGATATTATAAGATATAAATAATAATAACATTCTTATAGTACATATGAACCACCCTTAAATTTATCCAGAACTCTCAACCTCCACCCTTTTATTTAATAATTAGTGACATTAAACAAAATTAAAATCCTTATCATTCAAGCATAAACCAGGTGAGCTGTGACAAGCCGAGCTACCTGAAGTTGGTCATTCTGCCCCAGTATACTGAACTATTCTAAAAGTGAAAATTAGCTACTTAAACCAAATAACTAATGCCCTCTAAATTTTTCCATAAGATAGTCTCTGTCATGAAGAGCTTAACCCTTAATACAGTTTCATATTTATTATGAAAGTGTAAAAAAATTTTTTTAATAAACTAGTTCTGATAACCACTATTTTATCAGTTTATTTATGAATAAATTAACATTATGTATAAAGGAATTACTGTTATTACAAACTGTAAAACATCTTTTTAATAGAGATGTAATAATCCCTTTTAACAATAAGGCAATTCCACAGTAATGGAATTACAATCCCAAATATTTTTGGAATTTGGTTACAAATGCTGAGGTTCAGTGTTTGCCTTGAAGAATAACTTGAGTAGGCTGTGGAAGTACAAACCCTTCCCTATAATAAACAGTTGTATACATAAAAAATCCTAACAAAGGAATGAAATTATTATTGATTTTATTTTGGTAATACAATTATACAGAAAATTTCAAAATTGGTTTCTAACAAATGTCCTGACATTCCATCTGAATCTTGAAGCCAACTAAAGCTGATGGATGGTGGCTAATTCATGGAAGGACGTTTGGTCCTGATATATACACTGTTTCTTTAAACTTAGCAAGTATAGTTCAGTAACAGAATTACATAGCAGGGTATCAGAATTACCTGTTTGAATATATATGTGAATAATACATTAAATACCATCTCAAGATACTTGTTCTTACACCTATGTACTCAGAGAACTGTATGTTTCTATTATGATGTTACTTCAAGCCTAGTGCTAGTGTGGGGCATAGAAAAGACAACAGATTTATGTAAATGTACTAAGGCCAACTGAACTCTATCTGAAAAGACAATTCTCGAACACCTATCCATCTGTGGTTCAGTGAGTACCTTGATTACATAGGGCCTGTCAAGAGAATCTACATCATCAAAGTCAGGCCACACAAACTTGCCAAATTCCACCTTTTTCAAGAACTGGATGGTGATTTTGTTGTCCTGAGTTTCAAGAACCTGGCCAACAAACTTCTTGGTATTCCTCTGGACAGAGTATCTGACAACTACTCGCTTCAAGTTAAGATCTTTAGGCAAGGCTTCTGGTTTACTATCAAGGTTGGCTGTAACATACCTTTTCACTGTGTGGTCTTCTTCACCATCATCATCAATGTGATCACCATCTTCACCACCATCAGCATCTGCACCTTTAAAGTGGTGCCTTATAAATTGAGAATTTGGATGGTGCTGTACATTGATGACAAATGGTGCAATCACAGTGACTGTACCCATTTTGGATTAAAGATGGGAGTTATCTCCTTCCAATCATCATCCAGCTTTTTCATTTCTGACTCAACCTTAACTTTGCTTATGTGTTTTATCTAAACATTTTGGCATTTCCTGGCAACAACCTCAGCGAATTCATTGGATGTTGTTACCTCTGCTTTGTCAGACAAGACTTCTGAGGAGAGTAGTCTTTTTGTGGTTCCTCCAGTGCCATCTAGTGGACCTTTGCCATGAGAAGTGGCAAAGAAATTCCACTCTATATTTCTGTTTAACAGTGTGATGCTTGAGAGAAGGAAGGTCTGTTTGAACTGATTTGATGGACCATCAGAAAAACAACTACTTACTGAAATTGGTGGACAGTTGAATCTAAATTGTGTTGCAGGTAATAAGAAACTATCACCATTGAATGTGTTACCTCTACTCTAAGGCACATACAGTAAACACAGTGACCTGACTGTAAGCCCAATATGCAGACTGAGTTTTTGTGTTAAAATTTTCAGCAAACTCAATCTGAACAACAACTTAGCAATAAAACACTTCTATATAGTTCTACTGAATATTTACTTGATGTGTTGGTGTGTCTAATCACCTTATGACAGGATGTTGTGCGATTTAAACTTGTGCAGATACAGTTTGTCCTTTGTCTTAAGAAGCATGGCATGGAACTTTCTGGAAAGAGGAAATTAATGCTGCCCTCTATTACATACAATGAAGTTAAACAATGCCTTAATTATCAGCCCTGACCTCTGGTGCCAAAACTGTGCATTAGATGAATTAGGTTCTATTACAGTAAGTTTACACAGCAAGAGAAAACCCTATGTAATTCTGTTACCGTAATTCCATTACCAAATTGTAATTCTGTTAACAGGATTTGTACAAGATCAGAGAAGATATGCTAAAAGCAAGTGATCTAACAGGTTCTGAATAGACCTAATAAGAGAATTTTTCATAGGTTTTAATTCCAACCAATAGTTAGTACACAGGAAAACTTTTATGACTCTTTTTGGTAACAGAATTACAGGCAAAATAGATGAAAATATGCCATCATCCAAGCAAAGTATGAAACTTACAGTAGAATTGCTTTCTGTATTTCAGTTTTAGGGTTCATGAACTCAAATATTAAGCAAAAAAGGAGTAACTAGAATTGGAGGTAAGAGAAAAAGGGAAGGGTTTGCAATGGAAGCCTTTTTTCTAATGCTAAAAATGCACTCGAATAGAAATGTTACTTTTCAAGAAAATGAACCAACAGCAATAATAATTTCATTTAGAACAAAATTCTACACAATTTATATCAGCAGTGAAACTTTTATGTGGTTTTATAAAGAATCAAGCCCTCTGTCGTAGAATTGCCCAATATTGATGGAACAACACTATTAGAGGTGAGTAAATCAAGGATGGAAAAATTCAAATTCCCTTCTACTATCAAAAATAGTTTACTGTATACTGCCTTCTATTGAATTAATGTCTATATCTAAATAATGAGCATGAATATCATGGCTATTATTTATTTCTGTTATAAACTCTGTTGGGTATAATATTCTTGAGTTATTGAGTGAAATTAAGTCTATGTAACAAAAAGTATACAAATATAAATTAGGTTTAATACTCCTAGAAAAACAGATACAGATTGTCCATATTTGAAGAGAAATTAGCACTCGTTGGAATACCCACTGTTTGTTTATATACTTCTTCATTAAAGGTGAAATCTATATACTACTAAAACTCTGAGATTGTTTGTTTGCCTGCTTGTCTGTAATTAAATACAGCAAAAACACTACACAATAGTACCATATTTGTAATGAAATGAGAATAGAAACAGAATAAAACAAGTTTCGTTAAAATCGGGCAACGGGTTACTGAGTTAGTGCCTTTTTTTGGGTCACTTTTATGAAAATTTCTAGCATGAATAATTTTACATCATACTACCGTTCATGCTCTGTACGAAATTTCTTCATTCAAATCTATTTCCCTGTCAATGTTCTCATCTTCATTAAAAGGCTCAAGATGACAAAAACATCTTGAAGAATTTCTTGATAATGTGCCTTGGTTATGGTAGATAATTCGAAGAAAAAAGTGTTACCGTTTCTTATTTGTAAAATGTTTAATAGGAAAGATCACAACATAATGAACTAATTCATCACAATACCTGAAAACTGTGACTTATATGTACAAAAACTAAGTATATTTTTACATTCATATTTGGTGAATTTATGTTTTGAAATAATTACTTCTGCATCTACAAATTTATCAAATAGGTCATTAAAGACCCTAATAAAATCTTTCAGATCTATTTTAGTATATAATGTAGTGAAATCATAAATAATAACAGAATTGGCTGTTTGTAAAGTTTAAAAAATCCTCTTTCAATTTCTACAGTGTATAACTTCCAACATCCATATTTTTATAAGATGCACAAAAGGAAAAATATTCTCATTGTAGAAATAGACCACCTATATTTTTTACAAGACTCCCAACCTCCACCCTTTTATTTAATAATTACAAAATGATGTTGAACAGAAGTAAAACCTTTTACTAATAGTTCTTAATTCCTCATCCTCCTCCTATTCTCTTGAAAATTTGTTCAAGTATAAACTGGTTGAGCTGAAGATACCAGCTACATGAAGTTCATCTTTCCACCTAAAAGATGACTTTGAGTAACAAACGACCTCTATGTTCTCCAGAAGGTCGATTCCATCATCAAGAGTTTACTTTTTAATATAATTTCATATTGATTAATAAATAGTAAAAACATTTTTTATATGCCAGTCTTTATAACCATTATTTATCAATTTATTTATTTATAAATAATTGAACAATAATCATAAAAAATTACTATTGTTACAAAGTGTTAAAAATCATTTTAATTCCTTTAGCAGTATGGACAGAACAACATTATTACTTGTGGGTAGACCAAGGATGGGAAAATCAAATTCCCTTCTTTTATCAAAAATGGTCAAGTGTACTCTGAATTTTAGAAAATTAACGTCTAAGTA